GATGATATTCTCACTGTCCTATATGAGGACAATGCGGCATGTTTTGCACATATGAGTAATGGGTATGTTAAGCGAAACCTTAAAAAACACATTACACCTAACTACTTTTATCAACATGAACTCCAGAAGAGTAGCAAAATTCTTGTTTAGAAGCTTCGCTCAAGTAACAATTTGGCATATCTGTTCACAAAGTCCTTGCTTACATCCACCCAGCGTTGCACAAATCCCGCCTAGGCACCGATTAATAGGCGCCTAATCGCTAGGCGTTGGTCGGCCGCCTAGCATATCACCATAATCGGTGGTCTAGGCGATTGGCTGCTTAGGCGCTAACCGCCTAGACCTCCTAGGCGCCGACTAGGTCGACTAGTCGGGCGATTAGCTATTATTTTCTTCTTTTTAAATGAGTTATTTCACTCAAAATGACATCGTTTTGAGCAAAATAATCCTAAATTGTTCAATCTCTATATGTGTTTTAGGTTAATATTTAATATTTTAGTATTAACTATTAAAGTATTAAATAGTTTATAATTATCAAGTCTTAAAAAATTTAGGAATAAGGGTCATATAGGTCATCAAACTACACACAATAGTGCAATTAAGCCACCGAACCTAAAAAGACAACAATTAGGTCCCTAAACTAACCAATTTTATGCAACTAATCCAATTTATAGGTTTTGCAGGTTAATAACAGGTTATCCCAAATTTAAAATATATATATATATATATATATATATATATATATATATATATATATATATATATATATATATATATATATATATATATATATATATATATATATATATATATATATATATATATATATATATATATATATATATATATATTTTTTAAATTATTATTTAAAAATACTTATTAAATTTTTATTTTTATTTAAAAAAAAAAAAAAAAAACTTCGCCGGAGACGAAGAAACTTTCTTCGTCTCCGGTCATGTCTCCATAACTGCTACGCTGAAACTGCTTGTGCGCTGGAAAGCTTTGCCGCTACTTCTCGCCGAGGAGATCTTCTACTGCCGCCGTCGTACAGACGGCCGGAGAGGAAACCCAACTGCCCCAAGTTTCGCCGGAGGAAGTCGTTGCCTCTATTTCGCCGGATCTGCTGCCGAGCTGAGAGGGGTCGCCTGAGGAAAACATGTGCTCTCCAATCACCGCTGCTTCGCTGGGAGCTTTCCATGACAAAACTTGGACACCGGTTCGCACAGCATTCTCGTCGTGGTCGTCGTCTACAGTGCGAACCTCCGGAGCAGTGGGCATGGTTCAAACTTCAAATCATCAACATAAACTTGGACCTTTTTTTTTTAATATAAATTTTAAATAATTTTTTTTAAACAATCAAATAATTATTTTTAAATAATTTTTTTAAAAAAAATATTTTAAATTTAGGATGACCTGTTACTAACTTACAAAACCTGTAAATTTGACTAATTGCATTAAATTGATTAGTTTAGGGACTCAATTGTTGTTTTTTTAGGTTTAGTGGCCTAATTGCATTATTGTGTACAGTTCAATGGCCTATTTGACCCTTATTCCAAAAATTTATAATAAAAAAAGGTAAACAAATATTTAAAAAATAAAAAATACACGGGCGCCTAGGCATTGATTAATCGTCGCCTAGGCTTCTCCCAAGCGCCCGAGGAGCGCCTAGCAATTTTTTCAACCATGCATCCACCTTTAAAAATTTTGTTCATAAAATTGGGATGTGTAGGCTTCGAAGATTGTTGTCTTCATGGGGAGCAACAACCTCTAGGTGTTCTTGACTAATTGGTCTAGAAGGCCTTCATAATCCTGAAGATTAAGCCTTGAAGGCATTTGGTTGTACTCTTTTTTCCTTAGTTAAGTGATTTTTTTTTCTACTGAGTTTTCTTAGTCTAAGGTTTTTAATGAGGCAACTAGTGTAACATATGATTATACATACATCATGTACTCTTTTCCTTGACTAGGTTTTTCTCACAGGGTTGTTTTAACAAATTTTTTAACGGGCGAGTCATGATTATGGGAAGTTAATGGTAAGGGAGGGTATTATAATTAATTTAAATGTGTAGTCATTATCTTAGTGGTTTAGTTGTTTCAATTCCTAGTTTTCAGAATTATACATGTTGTATGAACCATTTACCAGATAAATGAGAATTCCTCGTGCATTTTTCTTCTCAATTTTCAGTTCTAGTTCTCTCTCTATTTATCTCGTATTGTGTAACAAAACTTTCACCGAAAATCAACCAAGCAAAGAAAAAACATAACTAGACTTTCACTGAAGATCAACCATAAGAAGGGACATCATAATTCACAACAAATTCTTTGTTGTTCTCTATATTTTTATCCCCCAATTTTTTTTCTGCTTTATTTTCGTAAACATGTTTCCTTTTTCATTTCTTCATAATTTTTTTTAAAAAAATTTCCATTTAATAAATACTCTGAAAAATGCCTCATTATCTCTCAATTGATTTTTTATAATATAAATTATGTGTTTAATTGGTTGTGTGGCAATTAAGCACGTTTACAGTTTACATGCCTAATATGTGAAAGAAAAGAGAGAGAAAAAAAATGTTATTTTTTAGAAAAATACCAATGTTGCAAAAAACGTTAGGCGCCCCCTAAGCGGCAAGGGGGCGCCTAGCGCCTAGGCGCCGATTTTTTTATTTTTATTTTTTATTTTTTTATTTTTTTAATTAAAAATAAAATTAAAAATTAAAAATTTTTAAGATTTAGTAATAAAATATAAGGTTTCCATAGTTATTTCTCAGAAACTATTTACAAAAGTGGTTGTAAAATTGTTCAAAAGATTGTTTAAACCATCTAAATACATTAAAAAAACTAAAATTAAGAGTTAAAGAAGCATTTTTTTGAGAAATTAGTGGACCAAACCGTTTGCGGCAGTGGATAGATCTAAAAAAAATACGCGATTTGCAAAAAAAATTGTCCAAAACGGACAACCGAGTCAAAAGTTATGCCTTCCCGAACTTTTCTCAATTTAAAACGCAAAAAAAAAAAAATAAAAATAAACCGCCGGTTCAGCCGCCTAGCCGGCCGGCCGCGGAGGAGGCCGATTCCGGCCTTCTTCGCAACGGCGACTAGGCGCGATTTTTGCAACCATGGAAAATACTAAACACCTTTACAATTATCAATTACAAATAACAACTTTTTGATGTAACAAAATGTCACAATACAAATATTTAATTACCACTTAAACGCGCAATTACCACTTAAACATGCTATTACCACATAAAGATGTGGCGGTTTATGAGTAATAAATACTCTGGTGTGTAGCATGGTCTTTTTTTTATATAGGAAAAAGTGTGAAATAGTAGATTAGTAGTGTGGTAAGAGTGACTATCTCTCTAGTAGGGGCGGACCCAGCATGGGGGCAGTGGGGCAGCTGCCCCCACTCACTCCACCCACACCCACCCACACCTCATATATAACCCTGCTGGTATGTATATATGTATATATAGTACAAGTTTTAAGATAAGTATAATAAAATAGATAAAAGTTAATAAAAGATTAGTAAATCAGGTGGCAAAGTGCGCAGCTTGTCTTTGCTAGTGGCTAAGGTTTGAATCTTTAGTGTCTGTGTGTATGTTTTGTTTTTTATGACTTCTAAATACTTTGTGTGTGTATGTTTTGTTTTTTATGACTTCTAAATACTTGGTGTGTATGTTTTGTTTTTATAACTTCTAAATACTTGGTATTAATTAATTGTGAGATTTAGACACATATATATAACTTTCTTTTATATTAATAATGATATGTTTATAATGTAGTTTTTATTCGAATTATTTTATCAAATTAATTATGCTTCTTATTTTGTTATGAATATTTTTTATAAAGTTTTGATGTGTTTTATTTGTCAACTTTCTTTTATATTAATAATGATATGTGTTTATAATGTATTTTTTATTCGAATTATTTTATCAAATTAATTATGCATCCTATTTTGTTATGAATATTTTTTATAAAGTTTTGATATGTTTTATTTTTCATCCGCATCCAACAATATTTATGGCTATACTTTTTATGTGTTTTATTTTTTTTATCAAACTATCTATTTTGTTTTAATGCGTTTTGTCCCTACTGACAAAATTTTCTGGGTCCATCACTGCTCTCTAGAATTAGGATTCTCTTCCTTTTCTCTAGAAAGCCACACTTTCGACTGACTCTTTTGTTCTCAAACAGTAGTGATTTTACATGCTCCATCCTATTTTAATTTCATTTGTTGGTGATGTTGTTCTTATTTCAACGGAGTTGACTTCCGGTATTGACCTTTTCCGGTTGAATGAAATTGGTCTCGTCCTGTTGTCTTATTTTGTTTAATTGCCATTGTCTTTGACTTGTTCAATGCTTAATTAGCTCCTTGTTGATTTCTAAATACTAGTGCTATCATTGTTAGTATTAACTATTGCATATCATATATGTAATCTCTTGAGGATAACATTACACTAGTATACTCCCATTTCCTACAACAAATATAAGATGCCTGCATGGACAGCTCAGTTAGTCATAGATGTGAAGTTTGGGAAGAATGATCCGGGATCGTGTCTCACCAGCGACAGTGTGGGAGTAATCTCTCAAACTGAGGGCTCCTTGTGCTTAGTAAGCAAAGTCTAGCCTCTGTATTCAACTGAGTTACCATGAGTGCACGGTAAGCAAAGGTCTAGCCTATGTGTTCAGCTGAGTTACCATGATTTACATCCTCAAATACTCTGTCGGACCGGGTATAGGGTTCTTGGGATTGGGGATTCAACCTTTTGAAAAGAATGACTAGGGATCGTGTCTCACCAACAGCAGTATGAGAGTAACCTCTTAAAGTGAGGGGCTCCTTGTGGGCAGTATGCAAAGGTCTAGAGCTGAGTTACCATGAGTGCTCAGTAAGCAAAGGTCTAGTCTATGCATTCAGCTGAGTTACCATGATTTACATCCTCAGATACTCTGTCGGACCAGGTGTAGGGGTCCTTGGGGTTGGGGATTCAACTTTTTGGGAAGAATATACATAAAGATATTTACACATTGTAATTTAATAGGCAATCACAATATATTGTAGTATACATTGCAGCAATTAATGAGCTAGCAAGCTAACTATGCAAGCAAGCTAGCTAAGCAACAATAATCATGAATTCCTCTTTGGTTTATGACCACTACTACTCCCCTTACCACAATGATCACTCAACCTGGGACTGGGAGAAGCGTGGCGAGAGGTGTTTCTGCAGTCACGGGGCACTTCAAATCCGATATTCTCCACTGCTCCCACCGTCTTGAACAACCGCCGCTTGTGCACCTCCTCTATCAATGTCCGGTGAAGCAACTGGCTGCGCATGTCTACTAGCGATCGGTTCCTTGTTAATCTCCGCATGTTGTCTTGTTTCTGTTCAACCATAGCCCACCCCGTGGTTGAACTTTCCCCGGGGCAGAATCTTGAATGGCTGTGGCTCACACCAATGCCCCCTGCCGGACTTTGCCTTCTTGGGTTGGTCTCATCATCTGCTGAAAAGTAATTGAGGTTGGAATAGTTTCCTGAGTGTGATGAAGAGCTCTGGGAGGTTGTTTCCTCGTATGCTTCATCTGCAACATCATTAAGAACAGGAAAATGGAACATCATAACATGTGCACATCAGGGGTTTAGTATGTACTTGAATAGAATGCAGACATATTGTTGGGCAGAGTCCGGTAAAGGACCAAGTCCATCAATTGGTGGCTAGGGGATTGTTGGGCAGAGGAGGGCTAAGTTCAGCACCGCCTCTCGAAAATGTGGTGGTGACTGGTATATGGAAACAAAGTTGCCCCTTCACTATGAGTGATAGCTTTCAACATAGTGGTAAACGTTTGATCCTAATAAATTCAAGTCCCGGAGGTCAATGAAGGACCAAGACTAGTACCCTGCCTCTTGAAAATGTGGTTGCGGTATAATGAAATAAAGTTACATCTTGACTACGAGTTATAACTTTTGACGTAGTGATAAGTACTTAATAAGTGACATCAAAGTCAGGTCACGGGTTCGGTCTGTGCAATTAATACCAGCAAATTAAACTAGCTGGTGTTGGGAAGGGAATTGTTGTGCCTAGTGAAGGGCTAAGTCGGGCACCCTGTCTCTAAAAAATGTGATGGCAGTATGGTTGATCCTATATATACCTTGAAGCCATAGATGGTGGTCTTTTCCTTGTATCTCTTGAGAAGTTATTGGAGCTGAAACCGAGCCTTGGGATGATGATGCGGTGGTGGATGAGAGTGAGCAGAAAGGATTGTGGTAATCATCTTTATAACTAAGAACATGGTGATCAACTACTGCAGGCTCATATTGATTCCATTTCCGCCATTGGGGTACTAGACCACTAATCTCCCCATCAATCATGTTTGCAATTTCAGCTGGTTTCCAGTCTCTGATTTCTAATTCCTTCACCATTTCATTTGCAACTTCGGTTGGTGTGTCGCTTAAGATGTCAAATGGAAAATACACGTTCCTAACACCACCTGCACAGGAAGATCACAACATACATTATTACAATTCTAATCTGGAAGCCATGGGTAATTTCAACAAATTGTTTAAGTTAGAGGAACATATATATTATGTCGTGTGGAGGCCGGTAACAGGCCAAATCCAATAATTGGTAGTTAGAGGATTGTTGGACCAAGTCTAGCACTCAGCACTTGATCTAACAAGTGGTATTAGAGCCAGATCACGGGTTCAAGGATGCTAGGAAGGGGACCAATCATTATTACATGGACCATATATGGTTCATACAGCTGTGTAGACCATAAATAAAAAGCACATTTTTAATATACTAAAAGTACATTATTTGAGTACTGAAAGTACGTTATTTTATATATACTATCAAATAATGTACCTTCAGTACACAAATAATGTATTTTTAGTATATTAAAAATGTACCTGATATTCATGGACCACACAGCTATGTGGACCATGATCCACACAATAATTTGTCGGGACTTGTTGGACAGAACGGGCCAAATCCAATAATTGGTGGCTAAAGGAATTGTTGGGCAGAGGCCGGTAAACGGCCAGCACCCTGACTCTAGAAAATGTGTAGCGATATAATGAAATAAAGTTGGGTCTTCGTTATTAGCTATAGCTTTTGGCGTAGTTACAAGCATTTGATCCTAACATATAATAATAATATTAATAACAATACCTTCTTTATCAGCAATCTGCACCTTAAGAATGATGGTATCATCTTCAGGATTCAACTTTCCCTTGATAGTCATGCTCGTTGCCGGCACATGGTGGTTCAAATTCAGGTCCTCCATTCCAATAATATTGTCATTCAGAAAAGGCTTTTGACACCCAACCATTGTTAGTGGCTTCCCTATAGAATCATCAGGGGCCAGAAATGGATCCACCATTAGTTCTTTAGCTGATAATCTCTTGGAGACAGGCTCCAAACACTTGCCAATAAACTGCTGTGCTTCCAAGTCTTCAACCTTGTAAAATGCCCTTGGCTTTTTGCCCTGCCACCCAAAATGCTATGCTATTTCAGTGAGAGCAATTTCTTGTAAATTTGCAAAAAGAAATTATACCAAACAGCTATCAGCTAACAGCTAATTTACCAAACATTTTTCTACAATCAACTAATGTTATCAACTAGCTATACTTTCTAATTAACACAATCAGCTAACAGCTAATAGCTATCAGTTAACAATCATTTACCAAACAGGGCCAGTACTGTCTTACATACCGAGGTCACTTTCTTGTAAATTTGAGCAGGATTGTTGCATTCACTGTATGGATATTCACCAGTAAGCATCTCTAGAATACACAACCCGAACGAATACACATCCACGAGCTCGTTGTAGTTCTCATCGTATAGCTCTGGCGCCATGAACTCGGGTGTTCCTATAACCACACATACAGGACGAAATCAATTCGATCAAGAGTAATAAGGAAAGTAAAGCCCTGGCCTATAAGTTCCATTATATTGCGTTACCTATAACGCTATGTGCTCTATGGGATCCACGAAGAATTGCTGCAAGGCCAAGGTCCCCAATCTTGACCTGTCCAAGATGGCCATTCACAAAAATATTGTCACACTTGAGGTCTCGGTGGATCACCGGGGGGTCGTGGCAATGCAAATAAACAAGGCCTGTGAGAATTTGGCGCGCCCAAATCTTTATGGCTCGGGTGTCTACTCGACTATACTTCTTCCTGTATCTGCATCATCACGAGATCGAACACGTCTTATGAACAGCAGATAAGGTAAAATTAAGATGAGAAAAGGGAAGGGAGGGAAGGGAAATTTACCCTCTGAGGGTTCCAGAAGTGAACATCTCAGTGATGAAATTGAAAGTGGTGTTTTGAACATTAATCCAAGAAGTATAGAACTTGATGATGGAATCATGGTTTAGGGTGCTTAAAAGATGAACCTCAGAGTAGAGCCTCTGCAAATCATCTGGTGAATGAAGCAAATCATTCAGCTTTATTTGGCTCCATGCCACTTCCATCCCAACCACCATATCTATTGCCTTGTACACCTTCTTCATCGCCCCTTTTCCCAACATTTCATCCAACTGCACCCAACATCATATCATTCATTCGTTAAATCTGTTAGGATCAAGAGTTTACCACTACGCCAAAAGCCATTAACGAAGTCGCAACTTTATTTCTTTATAGATTGCCATCACATTTTCAAGAGGCAGGTGTTGGACTTGGCCTCTTCACCGGACTCTGCCCAATTGACAATTTCCCTCCCAGCACCTATCACTTGTTAGGATTAAACCACTACTGGAAATTCTAAAATTTCCGATTACCTAAAAGTGATCTTAAATCAAGTCAAAAGCCTTGTTCCGACCACTTTTGGTATCCGGAAAAACCCATGACCACTTTTTGCTTTCAACTTGATTTAAGATCACTTTTAGATGGTCGGAAATTCAATAATTTCCAGTAGTGAATGCTTATCACTACGTCAAAAACTATAACTAGTAGCGAATTGAAAGCGTAACTTTTTTTTTTGAAAACCGTCATCACATTTTCTAGAGGCAGGGTGCTAGACTTGGTCTTTCATTTCATTGACCTCCGCCCAACAATCCCCTAACCACCAATTAATCAACAAAATTAACCCACAGATTCTTGACCCACACAAAACTGTTCCAATCTTTGCCCACAAACCCAGATCGAAGAACTTGCAAAGATTACATTTTTATATACAAGTCCACCAGAACAACAAAGGATTTTCAACAACTTCTTGCACAATCGATTACCCAGCAATATATATATATATATATATATATAATATATCTCAATAAATATATGCATGCATGTATGTATGTAAGCCCCAGAAACAAAGACAAAAGAAATTTAATTAATTTGGAAAAGTGAAAAATAAAGAAATCAAATTAAGCTGAGTAACTTACGCGACCATAACGTCCAGTGGGATCATATTCGACATATCCGAGGCCATCTTCGTCGGAGCGGTCCGCTAATGCTTCCTTATACATGTTTTTTATAAGAAGAATAAAAACTATTTGTTTATTAGTTGTGTTTTCCTTAGCTTCCAGACAACGTAGGAGCTGAGGTAGCTAGCTAGGAAAAGCTTTAAGTTTCTTTTGTTGTCTATAATGAAAGAAAAACCAGAAAAAAAAACCAAGGCTTTCTGCGTCTCCTGCTGTCCTAGGAGAGGACACTCTTCCACTGCTTGTAATTATTAGGCACCACCTGATTTGATTGAGAAAAATAATAATAATAAAACCCAAAGTCTTATTATTATTAGTGTGGGATTTGACAGAGGAGGAGAATGGGAAAAAGATGATGTGAAATGTGGGGTTAATTGGTATCTGTTGTTGTATATATATCTTAACAATATAATGCAAGCCTACAAAATGTTGTTTTCGTTGACTGTAGTTACAGGGTGCAAGATTCCATTTTTAATCCAAACATTAATTAAAAGAACTAATATAAGGAATTGATGCTTTAATCGTGATTAAATTGAATCTGCATAATAATAAGAGAGTGAATTGAAGAAAATAAACGTGAGTTTTTTGTATGGGTTGGGGTAGAAGATGATTCTGGAAAAGCAGAGGGACCTGAAATTTGAAGAAGAATCTGAAACAATTAATATGTAGCCGTTTGGGTTTGACATTTGTCCAGTAATCAGCAATGTAATCTATCTGCAAGAAGAAAATGGGCGGAGAGAGGGGTTAGGATTAAGCCAATCGTTATACTGTGAGCACGTGCTCACCTTGCATGGAGCGCACAAATCTATATTCATAATTTTTATACTGTAAATTCATAATTTGTATACTATATATTCATAATTTCTAGACTTTTGGTGAGCTAAAATTTATACTTTAGATTCATGATTTCTAATCACGAATCTATATCTATAATTTTTATATTGTAAATCCATAATTTCGATACTGTATATTCATAGTTTCGAGACTCTTGGTGAGTTAAAATTTATACTTTAGATTCATAGTTTTAGCTCACCAAGAGTTTAGAAAATTATGGATTTATAGTATAGAAATTATAAATCTATAGTATAAAAATTATGGATATAAATTCGTGTGCATTATGTGTTATAGATATAGATTCGTGTGCATTATATGCATGGTGAGCACGTGCTCAGGGCATAATTTGCCGGATTAAGCTAAGGTGGTGTCATGTGACTTGACGTTATGTTTGACGGAGTTAAAGAGATTCCTGTTGGGGATTGCCAATTGCCAAAGCTTCAACATTTCTTCTTCTAATAAAACTCATTTTCTCCCAGGCAAATGTCAGTATGTCACTCCACTAAAAATGAGATACAATAATATTGTATCAAGTCTCATTTTCTAATTTTTCATTTTGCTTTATTGCCAAGTACATTGTATAGAATTTTTTTAGTGCAATTTATCTCTTTTACATAATTTATGAGCTATATATATAAAAATGTATTTTATCCATTGTTCACCTTTAGATAGTAACTGTTGGTGGAAATACAAGAGATAAATGGTAGGTTTTAAGTACGAGCCGAGCGAAACACTCTTTCCCTAACTCCTGTAAATAAAACATAGAGTTGTAAAATCTAGTTAAGTCATGACATTAAATTAGGCCCTTTTTTCAAGCTCATTTTGAAATTTTGAAAAAAAAAAGTCTTTATGCTATACAATTTAATAAGTTTTAGAGCGGTTCTTGTATAAATAGTGATGTAAACTCACTTCTCAAATCAATGTGGGACAAAGGCTACTTTAAAGTCTTTCGCCTTCTTTTTCCAACTCAAATGGGTCTACTTTGATAATTAATTTCTCATCCACTCATTATCTGTTTTGAGCATACAATATATTAATCTCTTCGTCTCACTACGAAGAACTCAAATCCACTTTGACCCGACCCAAAATGGAAGTGGACATCACTAATAACTGTACCACAAAATAACCACTTAAAATGTCATTTTATGCTATTTTTTCAACAGTATGTACAATTTACAGGTTTTTCTCATTACTCAAAAAAACAAAAAAAAAAAAAAAAAAAAATCACGAACTGCTTACCAATTGGTTAACTCTATTATGAATTAATAAAGAGAACTGTGAGTATACAAATAATCAAATAAAAAATTGAATGACCAAATGAATATCATTGAGTGATTTTATTAATATGAGAGTACATCATGACACTTTATTTAGTTAATGGATATATATAGAATTGCATTCTGGTGTGAATATGCGAATGCCTGATATCCGTTCACGTGTCCAGATTTAATGGATGAGAAACAATGATTTTTTTTAAAAACGTGATGACATTTTCGTAAATAATTGAACATCGAAGTGCAAATAAAATGTATTACAAGTGCATGTAAAATGTATTATAGGTGCAAGTAAAATTTACATTACGCATCAATACTAAGTGCACCTATAGTTAGTTATAAGTAGTTGCACCTAGGTGCATGAATGTTTGCGGGTGGTTTTCACGAGTACTACTACCCGCTGAACTCCCCGCAAGAACAAAAACCATGCCAAACAGAACGAACTTAGATCAATGAATGTTAACAAGACAAACTTACATGCACTTGCAGGCGAAAGTAGGTGTACTTGTAGGTGTACCCGATCAATGAATGCAGGCAAAAACTACATGCACTTGCAGGCGAAAGTAGGTGCACTTATAGGTGAAAGTAGATGCACCCGATCAATGAATGCTGACACGTGGTGCGCGCTATTGATTCACATTTCTCTCCTGGGCACCTATTCACACCTGAACGCGACCCTATATATATATATATATATATATATATATATATATATATATATATATATATATATATATATATATATATGTAAACACAATTTGTAATTTAAGAGCTAAACGAATGAAGCCTGTAAATTGACTGGATAGTCCAACGTAACTCTGTATCTTGGTGCAAAAGTAAGTAACCATTAGCAATTGGTGAAAATGCGAGACAGTGGTAGGATTAAAGTTATGTGTATGTGGAGTGTGCAACGAGCCCACAATATATTGTGCAAGACTGGTATAGTGCCCAGAAAATTAAGTGCGACAGTGGTAAAACAAGTTTCGAAATCATGAAATTTAACCACAACACGAACATAATATGGAAAATAAAACTTAAAGAAAAAACTTCAAACATTTATTCAAACAAAACGAAACGACTAAAGTCACCACACGAGCAGAAAACTTAAAACAAAAATAAATAAATGAAAGTTTGACTCAAATAATAATTCCAATGCAAAAGCAAGCTTAATTTTTCTCTTTGCGCATGGGGCAAGTACGGTTATTATGGCCATACTCGTCACATGTGTGGCATTGTCACTGACGACGTTTCGACTTCTCAACAGCTAACTCCCTCGTACTTTTGATACGTTTGCCACAACCCTTGTTATTAGAGAGAGGAGGGGGACGAATATCAACGTCACTAACAACCTCATCACAAGAAGGATTCCAATACTTCGTCCCATCGGGAAACACGTCCATGACACAAGCCTGTTGAGAACTCGACCGAACTGCACAACCATCCATCCCAAAAAACTAGGTAAACAACATGATTAAAAACGTGTTACAAAAATGCACAACATGCCCAAAACAAGGAAAAAAAAACACACTGTCAGCACAATGAAACCCCCCATACATGCACAGAGCAAAAAGAACAAGTATCAACCAAAAACATATGTTGGCAACCTACACAGTTTTGAATATTGACAAACTAATGAAAGGAACTAGTTGCACACAATGTACAAGGAGGCTGCTTGCAGTCTTACAAGAAGTGGTAGTGCACAATTAATTGTTGCAGATATAGGGGATATAGGTACTGGTTGCACACTAATCAAATGTGGGAGTGCACAAACTATAGTTGGAAACATAATTTGTTACACATTGGTTGCACAAAGTAACATGGTAAATTGCACAATTTAGAATGAGGAAAATGCGTAACTAAAAACAAAAACGAACTAGATACAAAACAAGACTAGAAAACTTTAACAAAAATGCAAACCCCAAAAAAAGGGAGAAAAAAAACCGATAATAACCTTAAAAAAAAAAAAAAGAAATAGGTACAAAACAAGACTACAAACATGTAACATAAACGCACACCATATCAGAAAAATAAACAAATTGCCACCACAAAGACAACTCCCATGCATGCACACTGCATACCCAATCCCCCCCCCCCCCCCCCCCCCCCAAATACCAAATGCAAAGAAAAAAAAAAAAAGGAAAACGATAATAACCTAAATAAAAACTAAAGCCAGATAGGTAGAAAACAAGACTACAACGAAACAACAAACCAAAAATAAATAAATAAAAAATTAAAAATAACCTACTGTATGCACAATGAAAACTCTCATAGAAGCACAGTGCGTAACCAAACGCTACAGCCCCAAATGCAAAAAAAAAAAAAAAAAAAAAAAAAAAAAAAAAAAAAAAAAAAAAAAAAAAGAGAAAAACATAATTTAAAACTAAATCCCACACCACCACCCCGCCACACGAAACATAATTTTCAATATACAAAGCAATAACAACACAATATACGTATTTAACAAGAAAAAAGAAAAACAAAACGCAAATGAATACTAATAACCATTGAAATTGTACAAAGCAACAACCCAGTAATAAAAAATTGCAAAAAGATCAAAATGAAAAAATGAAAAGAAAAAAGAAAAACACAGGCACCGCAAACGAAAAACATATTTACCCCAAAAAATACACCCACCGTATATGCGTATAAGAAACAAATTCCAAACGCAAAAAAGGAGCATAATAATAAATACATTAAAAAAACATCAACAATATTATACAACACGATGAACTTAAATACTACATGCATACAAACACCAAACCCAAATGAGCCCACAACACCCACACCTAACAACTACAAAGGAGATACATAACTACGCACAAAAATTAAAAACAATGATGCACAAAGAATATACATTTGAAACAAGTCGACACCTACACCAGATGGTCAGTAACACCCACACGTACAGAAATGAATAAAAAAATAAGGAAAAATGAAGAGTCAGCACCCCTATCAACCCCAACAATAACACACCAAAATAACTAATACAGGAATACAAAAAGATACACAACAACAACATTAAACGGTGCACAACGAAAATATATTGGAGACAAATAAAATACACACCTGGAGAATTCATAGCCACCACCGCGAAAAAAAACACAGAGATACTGAAGAGACAATAGGGACTGATAAAACACAATGCAACACAACTGAAACCAGAGAACTAGGCCAACAATATATAAAGACACGGTACAAAAATGATGGAATCGATAAAAATCTTAATTGCCATATTTAAGCCAACTACAAACATGCAATCACC